CAAGTTTTGATATCTGGCCAACATCGAAGGGGTCTGGAGGGCACAGCCCTGGAAAAATGTCCTGGTTGGCTTTTGGATTATCTAGTTCTTGGACCTGTGTCATTCCAGCATGCCAATACAGGGTACATCAAGGCACCCAGCCATATGCAAGGAAATGTATTTATTCCAGGGGGGGTGGGGGAGTCACCCACCCCTGGAATAGTTCTGTGGCAGCTCACCAGGCCCAGCAGTAGCAAGCATTGCTGGTGAGTGGCAGCTTGGCAAACTTCTTTCCAAGCTGGATACACTTTATGATCTTTCTGGTGTCTGGTTCAAGGCCTTGAGATGTCTGCTTGAGGTAAAGGTTTCCACCACCCCTGGAATACTTTTGGGTCCTACTGGTAGTCGACAGCCAGTTGGCTCAAGCTTCTATGCCCACCCCCCCTCAGTAATTTTTTGAAGTCTTGGACAGGCGACATCGAAGGGGCCTGGAGGGCACAGCCCGGAAAAATGTTCTGGTTGGCTTTTGGATTATCTAGTTCTAGGTCTGTGTCATTCCAGCCTGCCGGCACAGGGTACATCAGGGCACACCCAGCCATATGCAAGGAAATTTCTTTATTCCAGGGGGGGGCGGGGGAGTCACCCACCCCTGGAATAGTTCTGTGGACATCTAAATTGTCTAGACTCTTGATAGTTCATGTTCTTCCTACACTAAAAGAATTTTTACTAAATGTATTTTCTCAAATCTTGTCAAATCTGTCGTCATCATCATCACTGTTTGTTCAGACTCTCTTGCAACGTAGATCTCTGGTTATGATTATCTGTTTTCAATCAAACTCAAAACATGGGTTTATGCTGACATGCACATCTTCCATCACCCATTCCTTCTTCCGAGCAAACAAACACATCGTGAACCGCGAGCAACTGTCATGAAACGCTTTCAAATCATCGTTTCTTGAAACAATTATTCCAATGGGATAGTGAGTTCAACAGCATTATTATTCCGATGGGTTGTTGACATCAAGTTGTTCATTATTCCAATGGGTTGTTGAGTTCAAGCTTATCGTATGTAGCAAAACTATTCTAGGGGGGTTGACATCAGAGTTTTTTTTTGTTCTACCCCCCCATTACATAGTTTTCTTGACCCCCTGTCAAAAATTTATTCCAGTTAAATTTATTCCAGTATGCGACCCCCCCATTGGAATAAAATTTAGTGGACGGCCCATATTGCAAGCCGAAAGCAGACACAGCAGCCCAGAGCTGGGAGACACATGTAAAGGAGTGCAAGCGACATGCAGCCCAGAGCTGGGAGACAAGTGTGAAGGGTTGCAAGCGAGAGGCGGAGACAGGAGTCCGAGTTGGGAGGCACGTGTTAAGGATTGCAAGGCACAGCCCAGACGGACACGGCAACAAGCTGGGAGACAAATGTAAACGATTGAAAGCGACAGGCAAAGGCAGCAGGCCAGAGCTGGGTAACAAACGTAAAGGATTGCAAGGCAAAGGCGGACACAGCAGTCCAGAGCTGGGAGACAAGTGCAAAGGATTGCAAGGCAGAGGCGGATACAGCAGCTGAGAGACACGTAAAGGATTGCAAGCGACAGGCGGACAGAGCAGTCCATGTAACGGATTGCAAGGCAGAGGCGGACACAGCAGCCCAGAGCTGGGAGACACATGTACAGGGTTGCAAGCGAAAGGCGGACAGAGCAGTCGAGAGTTGGGAGACACATGCAAAGGATTGCGATGGAGAGGTGGACACTGCAGTCCAGAGCTGGGGGACACACGTAAAGGGTTCTTGTTGGTCATTGTGTCCGCTTGTCTCCCTTCTGTTTCCTTTTGTCTCCCTTCTTGTCTCCCTTCTTGTTGCCCGGTGCCAACCTCTGCCTTGCGATCCTTTCCATTTGTCTCCCAGCTCTGGACTGCTGTGTTGCAGTCCTAGGGGGGGCAAGAAGGGAAACAAAAGGAAACAGAAGGGGGACAAGCCGGACACAGTGACCAAAAAGAAGGGAGACAAGACCGGAGACTAAGGGAAACAGAAGGGAGACTGTTCGGACGCAATGACCCAAAAGAAGGGAGACAAAGGGTGACAAGCCAAACGGAAGGCCTACACGCTGTCCCACAAGGCGGACACTCTTAGAAAGCATTGAGAACCCCTAACAGTAACCTGTTTGGAGAAAAGTAAAGAAATCACATGGGAGACAAATGAATAGAAATGCTGCATTGCATGGCCAGCGGAAAGGGCGGACACCAGCAGTGCAGGCACCGAACCTGGGAGACAAAAGTAAAGAAATCACATGGGACAAATGAATAGAAATGCTGCATGGCCAGCGGAAAAGGGCGGACACCAGCAGTGCAGGCGCCGAATCTGGGAAACCCACCGTAGACCCCAAACAGTTTGTGTTTTTCAAAACCGGAACACTCTGCGACTAGAGCTTGCGACGTCCAGAGCTGGGAGACAAAGGATTGCAAGGCAGAGGCGGCCACAGCAGCCCAGAGCTGGGAGACAAATGTAGACACAGGGAGACACATGTAAAGGATTGCAAGCGACATGCAGCCCAGAGCTGGGTGACAAATAAAGGATTGCAAGGCAGAGGTGGATACAGCAGTCTAGAGCTGGGAGACAAACGCAAAGGCTTGTGAGGACACATGTAAAGGATTGCAAGGCAGAGGCGGACACAACAGTCAGAGCTGGGAGACAAATGTAAAATTAAGGACTGCAAGGCAGAGGCGGAAACAGCAGCCCAGCGCTGGGAGACACATGATGACAAATGTAAAGCGTTGGAGACAGCAGCCCAGAGCTGGGAGACAAGTGTAAAGGATTACAAGGCAGAGGCGGGCACAGCAGTCCAGAGCTGGGAGACAAATGTAGGCACAGGGAGACAAGTGTAAAGGATTGCAAGGCAGAGGTGGGCACAGCAGAGACAAATGTAGGCACAGGGAGACAAATGTAAAGGATTGCAAGCGACACGCAGCCCAGAGCTGGGAGACAAATGTAAAGGATTGCAGGGCAGAGCAGCTGGGAGACAAATGTGAAGGCTTGCAAGCGAGAGGGGGAGAGAGGAGGCACGAAAAAAGGAAGACAAGGCGGACACAATGACCAACAAGAATGGGGACAACAAGGGAGACAAGAAGGGAGACAAGACGGACCAAGTCACCTGGGAGACAGGTGAATAGCAATGCTGGAAAGGGGAAAAGGGCGGATGCCAGCAGTGCAGGCACCGAACCTGGGAGACAAGAGTAAAGAAATCACTTTAAAGACAAACGAATTGAAATGCTGCATGGCCAGCGGAAATGGGCGGACACCAGCAGGGACACACCTTGGAGACAAATGAGTAGACATGCTACATGGCCAACGGAAAAGGGCGGACACCAGCAGCGACAGACCTGGGAGACAAATGAACAGCAAATAAGTAGAAATGTTACATGGCCAGGGCGGACACCACCAGTGACAGACCTGGGAGACAAATGAATCAGACCTGGGAGACAAATGAATAGAAACGCTATATACATGCCCAGCGGAAAAGGGCGGACACCAGCAGTGACAGACCGGGGAGACAAATGAATAGAAACCCTACATGGCCAGCGGAAAAGGGCGGACACCAGCAGTGACAGACCTGGGAGACAAATGAATAGAAACGCTACATGGCCAGCGGAAAAGGGCGGACACCAGTAGTGAGAGACCTGGGAGACAAATGAATAGAAACGCTACATGGCCAGCGGAAAAGGGCGGACACCACCAGCGACAGACCTGGGAGACAAATGAATAGAAACGTTACATGGCCAGCGGAAAAGGGCGGACACCAGCAGTGACAGACCTGGGAGACAAATGAAACGAATCGCTACATGGCCAGCGGAAAAGGGCGGACACTAGCAGTGACACAAAGGGCGGACACATCTTAAGAAAGAATTGAGAACCCCTAACAGTAAACTGTTTGGGGAATAAAGAAATCACCTGGAAGACGCATGAATAGAAATGCTGCATGGCAAACGGAAAATGGCGGAAAGCAGCAGTGACACAACAAAATACAGAAAAGGAGTCTTACAGTAAATGTTAAGGAGGAAGAAAAAGGGAGTGCCTTTTATTCCTTGTCGTCCTTCCCTTTTCAATTGAAGCAAAACGAGCAAAGCTTTGAGGAAAGGATTCCAAGTTGCCCCCCGAGCTTGGTTCATCGAATACAGTCGTGCACCAACATCAACCAGGTGTCCTCCGGCGTGCACTTCCCTTGAATAATGGCACCACATTCACAAACTACACCCGGGATCCTGCAATCAAAAGGCAAAGACTCAATATGTCTGAGGGATGCAGCACTACTGGCACTACTTACATAGTACCCATTGAGGGCAGTGTTGTTAAAGAGAGGAATCACACGTCTCCAACGTGAAGCGGGTACTGTTTCATCTTGATTCGACTGTGGCAGTATGATATGTCCTGAGTGCTCCGCCATTCACTTTGCCATTGGACTTAGCCTGATGCTTCTCTCTATAAATCTTCCGCCTTACCTCAAGAGGCAAAGTTCCGAGCGATGAGTAGCAACCAAAGTAAATCGCTGCAAAAAGTACCTACAGTTTCTCAGCCCCTGTCCCGCGGCGACAAGCGCATCCAGGCTATCTGAAACCCTACCACAAACCTTGCGATAAACGCATTCATGGCACAGTGACATGTTCAGCCTCTTGAGCTGTGAAATGCAAGATTGATTGTTTTTAGGAATTGCCACGTCTATAGGTTGGAGGGCATCGCTATTGGGTTGTTTTAGGAATTAGCTTCCTCTTTAGACAGCCATCTAATGTCAAATCTGCTGATCTTCCTTGCAACCACATGGTATTTGCAACTTAGGGCATTGCCCCAAAGCAGCAGCAGTGCTCGCAACAAGGAAGGCCTACGCAAGGTCAAAAGCGGCCCAGAAATCGAAAAGACGCAACCAAGACCAACGAAGATAGAGTCCTGCGCCCAAAGCATCCAAGTCCCTCAACCAAACTGTAGAATCTGTTCACTAGATCAGGGTTGTGAAGCCATGCCTTCACATCTATCGAAACCACGCCGCCGTCTTCCATTGCATTGCAAGGGACGAGGTGTGAGACAAACCTTGAACAAAATCTGGATGCCGTTGGCTTTGCATTGGACGGTTGTCAAAAGCGTTCATATCATTGAGCCGAGCACGGCCACCTGATACGAAGCGAGTGTCCCATGCACCAAGAATATCAAGCAAGCATGTGGCAGCGATGCAATGCAAATGCCAATGAGGAGCTTGTGCGCGCTCGCTTTGACCCTCTGAATCTGTCAAGGCCATCAACCCCGTCTTCAGAATATCAGATGCCTGTAAGCTCAAGCATAACCAAAGGGCATCGAAAACATAAAGTGCACCTACTTCCGAACCTGAGGCTCACATACCTCGAAAGGTGCACATACTTCTGGCACGTGCCCGACATGCCCTGTCCAAAGAGTCGAGTCAACATCCCACAGCCATGTCCACACTTCACGAGCAAAAAATGTTCACACCTCCAAGAGGTGGCATAAGCCCCAACCTCGGGAGGCCATGGCCATGAGGCTCATGAGGTACAAGTCAACAGTGAGAATCCAAGGCTGAAGACTGTCGCATGCGGCAACGAAGGTCAGAGGCCTGATAGATTTCAATCAATTTGAGAGCCTGATTTGGCTGTTGCCCCAAATTCCTTCCAGAATTAATATATACATACGCATATACATATACATATACATATACATATATATGAAAATGATGGTTTACGCGGAGATGTTCACCTACTCTAGCTTGACTGGAGCAGGTCCATCGATTCAATGGGACGAGGTGAAGAACAGTATATAATATAGATTAAGTAGACTTTGCAACCTGTTGGCTGAGGAGAATGACAATCCCGTCCTCACAAGACTTTTCAACACAATGCAACGATCTCTACCGATGTACAATCCGTAATACTGATTATGTGTCGGCATTTACGTTGAGTCCTTTGGTTGCGGTGTCAATGTCTTTGCGGGCTACCTTGGTCTGAGCCGCCCAGAGCCTGCGATTGTTCCTCCGCCAAGGCTTCGGTAACTTCTGCGACATCCTAGCGGCTCAGTCTGAGTGCTGCGGAAAACAAAGGAAAAAAGGTCTCCAAACCTCAGCGCTGTATTTGCAATTTGAAGGGACACCCACTACCAAGGATTCTGCGGATCGACATAAAATAAACATGAGCAAATACAGTATAGCAGCAGTTACAAGTCTGAGCATTCCTTGCTACTTAGTCATCCGCACATGAAGAATCATCTCTGCCCCGGAACACTAACAGTGAGCACAAAAATTGGCACCACGAAGCGCACGAGAAAATTCGACCCCAAAACGTGACTTCTAAGCTTAGATTCACCCCTCCCTAAACTAGAGTAGTCTATGCTAAATCTACAACAGCCTTTTCTCTGAGCTCTCTCTAGCCTGTCGTCCACTCCTACGGTGCACTGTGATCCTTGGCAAAAAACACACTTATTGTTGTTGTGTCAAACAGGCTCGCGTTCAAGAGTGAACGAGGTGGGTGGTGCTGGCCTCTACGTGACTGGAGATCAAGCATGACTCTCTGCATCTTGAAACTTTTTGGGACCTGCTAAAGGGCTCAGTTAACTGAAGTGAAAGGTCCGCCTCCGCAATGGTGTGACATCCATAGCGCAATTCACGTGCTAGGGGTGCTTGTAAACGTAGCGCAGCGCGAAAAAAGGGCGCAAGTCCCATCCGGTGACAGAGGTGGCGATAATGGATCGTTGGGAGGAAGTCTTTGCAGAGCGCTGCGTGCCCCAATATGCCCCAATGATGGGAAACGAATAGACGCTGCACGAATCTCCGATTAATGAACACTTCTCAAGTTCGTAGCCTTTGCGGGCTTGTTTGATTTTGCTAGCTGCCCAGGCTACGTTGCAGTGTCCAAAGCCGTAGCCCATCACTAGCTCTCTCTCGGAACTGTTGGTGCCCGATCATTCAACCTGCAACAGCCCATCGAAGTTGGCAATCCCCGTCAGCCCTGTGGATCCCAGCCGGTTTGTATGGGGGTTCATCTTTCCAATCTGCCCTCATGCAAGTAGGAAAACTATTTGCTACCTTCTCACCAGGCCATGAAAACTCCGGGCTCATCCACTGATCCACCTCGCAGTGCTGACACATTAGCAATGACCATGTTCCACCTTCTATCTGCAACCGCTTGGATGCCCTGCAGGCAGCCCTCAACCGTTTCAGAGGTCCAACAGAGACGGGGACGTTTTAGGGGCACTGCATCGGCAGAATCCAAATAGTAGGGGTGAAACCCCATCCACTCAGAAATCTCTGTAGACGCAGCCTCATCCATTGAGGCTACGTTTTCCGCAGCCACCTTAACCTGCGCCTCCTCTGGAAATTCTTCTTGGATGAGTCTCCATATCCGCAGGAACTCAAAGAACAACGAGCTTTGACTGCCCCCTAAGTTCCTACGATTAGCTTTGGCTGAACTCAAATCCCTGCAGGGGAATCCTCCCCATAAATGAACTTCCTTGACTGCGTGGAAGCTGCGGTGCCAGGACTGCACTGTCTCTCTTGTAATGTCTCGCACATCCCGCAGAATTTCCACTCCCGGCCATTGTCTGCTGGCCACCCTGTTGGCCGGAGCGTGAATATCAACTGCAATGGCGCCTTGAGGCACAATGTCAAGGATGTCGTAGATCCTGTATGTTCCCCCTATTCCGGAGAACAGGCCAATCACAAGCACGGGCGCTGCCCCCAGACTTTGACTGGAAAATCGACTAGAGAGGACGAAGTCTTTCCCTTGCAATGTAAGTTGCCTGCTGTACCCCGTTGCTCCACCAGACTCTGACGCATCGCTGCACCACACTGTCTCATCGACCACTGCTGTCAGGTTGGTGTGAAGCAAGGGGATTCCTCCTAGAATGTTCAAGAACTCTCTCTTGGTCTTAAGGGCAAGGTTTTCCCCGTGATCTCCCTTGTTAATGAATTTCCAAACGCTGTCCAAAAAGCTCATTCCTGCCCGACGGAATAGAAGAACGTGGACCCAACGACCTGCCACAACCTGTACCATCTTCCGCTTAAGAAAGGGCTGCCCTAAAAGCCACAAAGTTGCTTGAATGAGCTTGCCAAACCTCTGAGGGGAACCACCAACGACTCCGACCTCCCCTTGAAGAAGAGCACCCAACTCCTCAACCTGCTAAGAATGCGAACCTTTTTTCTTTTCAGCGGAAAGAATCCCATGCGTCTTCCAGGTTCTTTCTACCGTGTCGTGGACCTCATTACCAACCTCCGGTGTTTCACCTTTCATCCTCCTATCACCTCCCATGAAATTGTCAAGATAAACTTGCCAAAAATATTTATCCTCTTTGATGGCGGTTGAAGCGGTTTCAAGAAGGAATTGGGGAACCGGTTGTCCTCTCCTTACCTGCGCTCCTTTCACCAAGCCTGCCCTCCAAAGCACCTCCTCTGACACTTCCTGCATCAAGGAAACCGAACTATGCATACCCATAGGTAATACTCTGCAGGCTAGGTAGGTTTCAGAGCTGTTCACACCAACCGAGTGACCCGGGTACGATACCCCAAAGGCCAGGTACCCCAACCAGGCCCTGGAGAGTTCGAACAAGTAGAATGCCGATGAAATGTCGCTCTGGTAGAAATGGAAAGTCTGGTCACAATCTAGCACCGCTGCCTGCCACGCGGTAATCGCCGGGAGACCTTCCACTGCTCCCCGCACCTGATGCATTGCACTGTTGGTCGCTTTGAGGTTCATGATCACCCTCGGGCGCCGCTTGCAATTGTTGCTGGCTTCTTCACGCCAAAGAGTCCATTCAAGATTTTGATCCCTTCTAATTCTAATTCAACCACTTCCGATGAGGGAATCCACTCGCAAGTGCCATGCTTAACTAACGCTTCGCAGACCCGAAGTTTTTCCCCCTTTCCAAAATGAGTCAACCCACAGATTTTAGGCCGTGGAGAGTCAAAACCAGTTTTCAACAACTTCTCAGGGGGTCTGAAGGATCATTTTGGTAGCCGGTGACACCAGTTCTACTAGTTTGATTGAACCTCCGTGTCCCAAGGGTGGTAGAGCAGGCAAAATCTTCAGGGCTTCACAAGTCCCAACCTCTTCCCCACAATAGTCGAGTTTCGCGCACTCCAAATCACGCCCCACCTTTTCAAAGCTCAGGAGCGGACTGCAGTGACACTGCGCAAGCTCCTTCGGTGATCACACTGCCTCCTCCTCTTGCCACTTAGACAAGGGCCCCCTGGTCCAGCGCAGCTTGCGCTTTCTAGACCAGCAACCGGAGGACCGCTCCAGGGCTTGCTTTGGGTCTTTTTCTCAACGGCGCTTTGAATTGAGCTTCGCTGTCGGATCCTGAGTCTTCGGAGTACCCTTCGTAGGAGCTGTCGCTTGGGTCGGAGCTCACAATTTACCCCGTTTATCAATATTCTCTTCCTTCCCTTTGTCCTTTCTTTCTTCTTCTTCTTCTTTTTCTTTCTTGTTGAGTGGCTTCGATCCTTGTCCTTCTTTGGGGGATCTCTGTCGTCCTCCTGTCTCCTCTGCAGCTGATTGAGAAGAGCTAGCAGCTAGCAACTCCTCTCTCTCCGTCCTCTGTCCTCCTCCAGCCTCTCTCTCCTTCTCCTTCTCTTCGCCACTCCTCTTGGGCCTTCCCCCAGCTACTTGTTGCGCCTGTCTCACAAGCTGACTCGAGACATCTCTCAAAGAAGAACCTCTTGTATCCTCCAACCTTGTCCTCTTCCTCAATGAACGTGCGAGGTGCCTAACCCCCAATCTCCACGACTCTCCTCTTCTTCTTCGAACCTCTTGCCTTAATTCTCTCAACGCGCGACCCCTCAACTCCTCGCTCAACACCTCCTGCCACTCGTCGTTCCGACCCTCTGCAACGCCTTTCCCCTTGGCCCGCGCTCGTGATCGCAGCGCACCAGCTCCCGCCTCGCGACGTTTGGGTGAAGGCTTCAACTTGGCTGCATCTCCAACTTTCTTCTTGCCAGCCCCGGTGCCATCCGCGTTGTCCAAATCCATTCACCTCAAACCTGGGAGAATGGTCCTGTCGCCTGGCGCACCAGCTCCCCGCTCTCTCTCGTCCTTGTCCTTCTCACCTCTCCAGGCATCTCCTCTCCATCCAGCCATTTGGCCACTTGCCGGGGGTGCGAACCTAGGAAGTAGGCTGGATTGAAACCTTCCCTCGAGAACGCACGCAGACGAGTAACGTGCAAATACCCTTCTTCGGCCTCTGTGCAAGGGGTACCAATGCATGCAAATAGCCCTCTTTTCTGTTGAACTGGGATGAGATTCATTTGTTCAGTTGAGGGTCCGTGCAACCTACTCCATGAACCCTCAACGCCATCCCACTGTCTCCCGTGACCATATGGTCCATCACAAGGAACCCTGCCTGAGCCTCTGAGCGGGGCTCCCAATCCGAAGCGCTCAGCGGGACCTCCACGAAGTCTCCTCTTCCTAAATTCAACAACGCCCAATTCTCCTTGTCGTCCATGCTGTAGGTCGTGCCTTCTTGCTGCCATCCTTCAATATTGCTCCTCAGCGCGGACATGGTGGAGGCGGTGGGATGCTCGAGAGGTCCTCCTCTCTCGATACCCTCAAATCCTCCAGCCTTCGCTTCCTGTCCAATCTCACTCCTGGTTTTGACTTCCTCATAGTCGACTGCTGATGCTTGCGTCCTCCTCGCCTGCCGCTCCTTCTTTCTCTCTCACCTCCTTCTCTCTGCTTGTGTTTCGTCCTTGAGCTTCTTCCTGTGTTCGAGTGTTCGCCTCGACCTGAATGCTTCTTCTCCTTCTCTTCCTTCTATACCTCAACCCGCGGGCTCGGAACAGGTGGAACTGCAGCCGGCGGCCTACGCGAGGGTGTCCTCTGCTCCTCAATCTCGTCCTCGCCTTCAGCCTCCGTGCGCGTGTAAGAGTATGACTGTTCTGGGTCAGGCTCGCCTCCAACGGGCTCGTCTCCTCCCTTCTGCGGCCTCGTTGGCTGGGACTTCGGTGTAGCCCCCGCAGCTGCAGACCCCCCGCGCTCAGCGACAGCAGGTGGTGGTGGAGGTGCTACTGGGACCAGCCTCAGCGAAAGAGTCCTGAAAACCCAAACCTGCCGAGCCAGCCAGTCGTTGGCTGCGCGCCTGAGGTCTTGATTACCCCAGCGCGAGTTCAGATCGCACTGGATATTCTCCAGTGCTGAGCACCCCACACACCAGCCGTCCTCAACCGAGCTCTGGGTCTGATGGCACTTATTGCACCACGGGCGCGGCATCAAGTGCCTTGCAAGACCTATAAGCCGAAACATGCGGTCCATTCGTGAACTTCTCCCTATGCCTCTAAAGAGTACAGTTGGAACAAGCATCGCAGCACAACCGGCATAACCTCCAACCCTTCTCTTCAACCCGGCACACCTCAAGCCACCTGAGACGCCGGACCACCCCTATCAACAAAACTTTGAAGTCAATGTTAGGCCAGCATCGACTTCAAGATACATGGTCACATACATACATGCAAACCCCAATCTGAGCACGGCTATCATACTCGATATACTCTCCACGAACCGTCGCTAGCCTGGAAGCTAGGAAGCTTATCAAACCATGCGGATCTTACAAATCTTGCAACAAAGCGCTGAGTTCACCACTTTGCTTCCACACCAATCAGCCGCAAACCAACCTCTCACCACCTTGCTAGCTCACCACATTGCAACCTTATGATATAGCGAACTCTCCAGCTCAAGGCTGAGCTGGGGCATTTGGCCAACAACAATCGACAATCGCAAGCGAGCACCACAACCCACCAGGTTACATCACATGGCATGCTAACAGCGTGGAATTTCTCCCAGAACTTTTCCATCATACACTGTAGGCCGTCAGTGCTAGTAATTTGAGCATACACCGTGTGGCAGTGTGGTGTGTTAAATAAACTAGCAACTAGTAAGCAAGCTTGAACGCGGTTCCTCACGAGCTTGTGCCAGCTCTTGCTTGAGACAAGCAATCTCTTGCTTGGCTGAACTGCACCTGCAAATCTGTCAACGTTCAGAGTTAGTGGGAGTCCAATGGGAGGAAAACAAGCCTCACCTCTCCCACGACTCAAGCAGCCTGTCTCCACCACGGGATGCCTCCAAATGCATCTTAAAAACGTACTTATCGCATCGATCATCTATCTGAGACTGAAACTGTTAGAGCCTGCTGGATAGAGTCACTGAGACTTGTAGCATCTTGTAGCGTCAGAAGACGCTCTGCTCACACAGCACTCAGAGCTCTCTGGTAAAGCGATCAACGTAATGAGAATACATGAGAATACGATGCGAAAGCAAAAACAGAGGCTCCAAAGTTGTCCCAGAAGATCCGCCTCTCGCAACGACTCGACAAGCTGCTCTTGAAGCCGGTGGCCTAGCAGCGATTCCCAAGAGAGAAAGCACCGAATTCATGCGAACCAAGCAGCTGGATTCTGCTATGAATTGAAAGGAATCACTAAACTTGTCCAATGAAAGCCATTCACGGGCTGTCCTTGACGAATTAATGCTGAATTCTCTGCACATACCTCCATGATTGGAAGCAGCAGCAAAGCACAAGTTCACTTAAGAATTTTCATTGATGCTGAGTCGTGCCTCCTCTAATTTGGCCTTCACAGGCTCGACCTGCAGCATAATAGTCTCATACGGTTTAACTAAGCCTAGACTATAGCAGCATGTCATCAAGCGGATTTCTGTTGGAGGCCTGCCGTTTCATGTGTTCGAACTCCTCGTGAAATCCTTGACGCGCCTGGGGAACATCTATAATAGGTCCGAAAGAATCCGAAAGAAGAATTTGGCAGCGTGTCTTGCAAGTCTTTTGCAAGTAATGAGGGCTGCGGTCAAACTGTCAAACCAAGGATGAGCGTGACTGAGGGTCCTTGGCCGCTTCTGTCTCGCTCTCAATCAGGCAGTTGCGAACTGCTAGGACTTCTTCGCGGTAGTTCTGCAAAAGATTGAAAGTTTTAAAGAAAAGCATCAGTCAGAATCTGTGCGTGGTTGCACCAGACTAGTCTGCAGGGCTGATGGTTTGGTAGTACTCAAGAGGTTTTAGCGCAACTGTGACTGAGTTGACAACTTAGTGTGAGACTGTGGGATAAAGTCATATTTGATAGTACTTGTGAATCAAAGAACAACTCATGCTTTCGTGATGCGTTTCCCAAAGATCCCATACTGCCTGAGCTGCTTCCACCACCCCTGTCTCAAAGCGAGCCTCGAGGCTACGCGTTAGATCAAATCATGATCATACTTTGGGGGGTGGCCCGAAAGCTCTAAGGACTCTAAGGGCTTTCACCTGCCAGAAGTCTCTGTCAGTAGATGTAGTTGCATGAGCCATCAGAGCTTCTGCCTGGTCGAATCTGTGCCAATCACTCTGTGCGACTGGTGCCCTATTGAGTCACCCGGTTTAAACTAAACCTTCGAGTCTTGTATGAAACGTGAAACTGCAGCTCTTACAGCGACAAACTTGAAGGCTTCAACTTGAAGGCCAGGCCCTGCCTCTCTTCTCTGAAGGTTGGCAATCTCTCGACACCTCACGAAAGTGGATCTGTTAAAAATGGAACAAACCTGAACACATGTTTTACTTTCTTCTCTACAGCAAGTAAACCGTTCCTCCAAAGAATCTTCTTGCCAACGTCTAAACTACTGAGCTTTGCAGCCACAAACAAGCTCCCCTCCCCTTTCACCCTCCTCGTGGCTCTCGACTCAAGCCCTTGCCTCACTTGGCCTTCTTCCTTTGAGCTCTGTAAAGCATTTTCCGCCTGTATCACTTCTGCTCCTCAGTACTATATACTGACATGAGGCCAAGCTGGTCGAATGGAAACTGCAAGCAAAAACTCTGACTCAATGTTCTCAATTTATTAATGACATGACCCAAAAAACAAAGACGGTGTCAACAACCAACGAGTGTTTCTTGGTCAGAAAGCATTCTGTGTTCTGGGCTGAGCAGTGCTGAGAAGGCCTAGCTATACAAAGTCCAATCAATCTATGAAGAACTCACACCAACCTCGTTCTTCCCAGCTTCAACGTGTGCAGTTTGTAGGCCTCGAATATGGAGACTAAGCCTTTGTTGGTTTCAAGTGCTGTAATACATGTGTGGGTTTTTGAAAGGTCGTGCCAAAATCCAAACGAAGGAGTAGCAAGGTCGACAAAGGAGCAGCAAGGACCAGCTGGCCCCTTTTCGCACCGGTAAAGATAAAACCCACACGTAAAGCTACTTTTCTCTACAGGGAATTTGTTGCGCCGCTTGGCTACCGGACTTGCCCGGCAGGATGCGGTGGTTGCCTCAAACAGACTTATGCTGCAAATACAAGCAGACTGATCCTTTTGCAACAACCTCAGCTCAGGCCTCAGAAATGCTTAGCTCCTTCATACTCGGCATAGAAAAAGGATTGACAACTAGCTTGCTCAAAAGAATGAGCAAACGTCCGACGTCTGACCTGTCCTTTCAACAACTACATATCATATTCAAACAGTTGCAAACATAGAAACCCTTCATTCAAAAGTTTTCTTTGCACAAATCCATTGAGAAGGTGTGTCCAAATCCAGATTAGATTCTGTGACTAGTGGAGCTCCCTCCTGCTGCATCATACTCACTCGTTGCTCCAATGTATGCCTGGGGGGCACAGGAGTGTTCGGCTTGCTTTATTATGGCAGTGGGAAAAGGGCCCCAAAGATTCCTGCTCCTGCGAGCACAGTGAGTATTGAGTATTGACATGTACTCCATGTCCTACAAACTCAATCTAAACAAAAAATGTGCTGCCAAAGTAAGTGTCCTGCTCAGTACTTGCCAGTCTCATCTCTTCGCGATGTAGCAGGCGCACAGCCTCCAGGGAGGTGGTTCGCCAAGAACACAATGGCCATGGCTTTCTGATGCTTTCTGGACTGCCTCAAACTCCTGAGATAGCTCCTGCTGAAGCTGGCCCACTGAGCTTCCAAGGGCCTCAGAATAGCTGGTGAGTATATAGCTGTTGAAGAAGTTTCGAGGTTTATCCATCCAAAACCAAGGACAATGCCACAAACTCTTGAGCAAATGGTGCTGCGCGTTGTCGCACCTGACCACTGGGAATCATGCAGAACTAAAAATCCTTTACACTGAAGGTGAAAATACTGTTCAAATCGTACATCCACATGCATTTTCTGGTAGATCAATCAAGGTGGCTGCTCTTCTGGAAATTTGAGATTTTGATGACATTTGATGTTGACATCTTCTAGCAACTGTGCCTTTGTGCTAACTCACAACTGTTGTGGCGTTCAGGATACAGTGCACTGGATGTTTGGAGATTGGATGTAGACGAGTCACTTGTATTGGACTGTAAGTAATCAAAAACTCAACACTACACCGACCTGAACTGAACTGTGACATGTAAGGCCCGAAAGAAACAACATCAAAACAAAACAAAATACATATATTATATGTATATATATATATTATTGTGCTGTCAAGTCTTCCTTTTGTGTCTTTTTTAGACCTCTTTAGGCCATTTAAAGACCTTTCTCTGTTCCTTTCTTTGGCTTTTCTTTACCTGCTGCTACAATTTACTGTACATCCTGAGCTGCCCAATTTAGATGGGCTCAAAAGGGACAAACATGTTCAAAATGAGCATTAAAAAGATCTACGTACTAGTCTACAGTAAATAAGAAGCACAAAGTCAGAGCGGAAAGAATTCGTCAATCTCAACACACGTTGCAGGCTGTTGCTTACCAGGAAGATCAAACATGCCTTGCTAGGACGGTTTTTTGCCTCCACAGCGTCTTCCAGAAGCTTTCGCTCCCTTGGCCAAAGCTTTTCAGAAGAAAAGAGTGAACAAACCAAGAGAGTAAACAGAACAAAAAAGCAATGCAATGCAGTCCAAAGATTGAAACGTCAAAATGACACCAGCCAACCGTCTTTTGCTAACTCGATGTTTTTAGTTCCTTTATCCCTTTCATTACATGCCGCGATGCTCCGCACCCTCCGTTCGCCGCATTGCCCGCCCGGGTACATGCTTTGTTCATGCCAGTTCACAAGAGCTGACGTTCACGCTTCGCAAGTTCACGCCAGTGCCGGAATGACCGGCTTTCAGCCGAAAAGAAAAAACACACAACTGTCTTTTGCTAAACGGCTGATCGAATACATGAATACATGGGAATACCCTCTGCACATCTTGAGGACCGGACGTAGCCAAGGATTTGAGCTCCAACTCAAGTGTTGCAAGTTCACTAGCCTGCCAAAATTTAAGAGTTCAGCCACTGCTTCACAACTAGCGTCCAGCTATGCTGAATCAAAAACAGCAACTTGGTGCAAGAAGCATTCACCGCGATGCAGCCGACAAGAAGCGCATTATCGCTGAGCCGTTTGAGCTGCAAAATGCCTGTGCTATTGAAATCAGCACGGCTGACTTCCTATACAAGGCTGCGCTTTGCCATGTGCCTTTGCAGCACGGCAAACACCGCTTGTGCCTTGTGTCTTGGTGCATAGGTCAAAGACGTTCCAAACGAAGCAAGTCTTGTTTTAGACCACGTTGGATGTCCGTGGAAAACTACGGACTTCAAACATGCATGCAGCGTTTCTTCCAGGAAATTCTTGCCGATCTAGGCAGCAAAGTCAAACGCGCTGCGGTGACAAAGCAAGAGCAGGAAGACTCGCTGAATTGAGTGCAACGTCGCAGGAGCGTTCACACCACGTGTGACGTGCTTATCTGTGCTATGGGTGAAATCTTCATCCAGGCCTCCAGTGTCGACGTGCAGTGTCAGTGGGACCACCATGAAACTGTTGATCTGTTAGAAGAAAAAAAGGTCAGAGCGCTTTGATGAACACCAACTCTATCCAATCAAATGCGTTCGCTTTGTTGAAGATAGAGAGAGAAAGAGGCAAAAGAACAAATACATACATCGACACCATGTGGTAGTTTTTTTCTACTATCCAGTCAAGGTTCTGCATGAATCTCCGCGCATTATTTCCTGAAACGTTTGCGGAAAGAAAACAACAAATCCAAGCAAGACTCTGTTTCGTCTTGATTGACCAAGCTTGGGCCTGCACCGGCCAACAAATCTCCCGCTTCCATTCCACACCCTGCAGGCCCTGCCACCTTGATGAGAAAGTGAGAGTCCTGTGATTCGGAATCATTTGGCCTCCACACAGCGGGTAAATTCGGCTCGTCGATGTTTTGGCCCAGTGTCCTTGAGGCTCTCCTTCAACTCATTCAGAATTGGATCATCACCTGGACTATTCCACTCTTCGTTTTCTGCAAATGTCTTTTCCGTCTCAATGTTCGTTCCCTTGCATCTTTCTCTTCTAGTCATACGACTTCCACCACTGCCACCAGTGTGTCACTTGGAATTCTGCCGCTTACTTCTTCGTGAAGTGAGAACTGGTGAAGGAAAAATTGTATATAGGAGCCACGGCACACTTTGCACTGCTCTTCAGCTTCAGAAGTCTCATCAGCGCGAGGAACACTGCAACACGCACGCGACAGCTGGAGTCCTGAGAATGGACCCTTGGACCCTCAGCCACTTAGCATCTGCAACCCAAACAAGGATCAGCAAGGTCATGGGAGTCACTCACAGCGAAAATGATGGAAAATCTGGCCTTCATTAGCATCTTGAGCGAATCCTGAGTTGCAGTTCCACAAACTTATACAAACATATATTAATGTGGGCACTATTTGGCTGCTGCTTGCAATCGCACAGCCTGCTGCTGGCCAGCCGTCAGTGCATGTGAGTAGAGTCAACTGTGTCATGCTGGGTTGTTTGACAAACAGCTCGTTGCGCAGCATGTTTTTGTGTGTTGCTGATCCATAGCAAGACTTCAGTATTCTTTGCAGTCTGATAGTCAAGCACTCGGTTTGCAATGCAAAGTCCACCACCAAGCTGCTATGCTTTGTGAATCGTCAGGGGAGGAGATCTGCTGCAATGCCTGGAGTTTGACAAGTGAACTCAGCGTTCAAGTTTCACAGCAAGTCTCATGCCCTTTCAATGATACCCCTGGCCCCCATTGGGCCCGCATAGCTTGATCACCAAATAGGTCACACCGCCATTCTGATAAAAACCTATGGTCCTGGTGTGCGAGCATACGTAATTATATACATGAGCCCACCACAAAATAAAAGCACTTGGCTTTGTTAAAGGAAGGAAAGTCATTGTCGAAGGATTGTGTGTTTCATATCACACAAGACTGTTTTTTGTCAAATAGATGCAAATAGATAATTATAGATGGTCAACTTCGCCGACTGCCCGCAAGGAATCTACAGTGACATGGTGGGGATTTTGAAGGGACCAAAGCCAATGGCATGTGCAGGGTGAGCATAGGTACCGCAGCATGCCCATGTTGCTTTGTTGCATTCAATTTTATTGGAC